ATATATACATATATTTATTTCATTGTTTACATCCATATTTTTATATTAGCATCATGTAATTTTAATTTTTAGTTTAGGTTATTTATAACTTGGAGATATTAGCATGTACTTGCTATCTTGTAATTCAAGTATAAATAAAGTTATTGTATTGTATTTGTTGTATCAAGGAGCTAGAGTCCTGAAAGAAAACAATGCCTAATAGAGAAATTGTGTCTAATATATTTTTGCTTAGAAAAATGGAATTCGAATTGTTTCGAAATTTATATCATTTTATTAGGAGGAGATGACGCCATAACGCAGGTTGAGAAATGGTTATACATCACCTGTATGTACTTGAAAAGAACTTATTTTCTGGAAAAATGATCCTAAAAGATTATTTACGTCGACCAAATAGTCTATCCGGATCTTCAAATGATCTTACCTAATTATTGAATAAAAACATTGTTTGCTTGTTATTACAAACTATAAACTTTTGATGCCTAAGCTTACTATATTTTGGCATACATTTATTTAAAAAGTATCTATCTCCAACGTCACTGGTAAACGGCGTATATAAGAGGAAAAAATGGTATTGGAAAATTTTAATTATTCATTTAAAACACACCTTGTACACAAAATATACGAAGAGGGTTTTTTCTCCGGGTTTTCTGGTTTTCCTCTCCGTTTCCCTCGTGTCTTCGAAACTTGACTTCTGTAATTCTTTACTTTATGGTCTTCCCAATACTTCTCTCCAAAAATCGCAACATGTACAAAACGCAGCTGCTTAACTTATTATCTTTTCAAGAAAACGAGATCATATTACACCCATCTTATATGACCTGCACTGGCTACCTGTAGAACAGCGTATTGTCTTTAAGATTCTACTACTCACTTTCAAGGTCTTACATAATCAAACTCCTTCCTACTTATGTGACTTGCTGGTTCCTTATGTTCCATCACGTTTCTTACGATCAATGTCTCAGAATCTTTTAGTAAGGGAATCTTACGACCTGAAACAGTATGGTAGAATAGCCTTCTCTAATGCGGCTCCTGAATTATGGAACAATCTACCACAGAACATTAGATCCTCTGTTTCAATATCACAGTTCAAGCAAAGGGTTAAAACCTGGCTTTTTCAGCAAGCATTTTTTTAGTAATTTTATTCAGAAATCTATGTTTTTACTTTTCACAAACTTTGATAATGATTGTTATTATGTATAATAGCCAATTAATGTTGAACGTTATTTCAATCACTGATTCATAATTTTATGCAAAAAAAGTCTATCAAATATGTATGTATTTATAAAGTTGTTTGTAATTATTGTTGTTTAAAGATTTTAATGTACAACACTAAACCACAACTAAATACCATATAGTTATATTTTTATATGTTTTATCAGATCTTTTTGTAAAGCGCCGTTGAACCACGGGGATATTAGCGCTATATAAATCATAATTTATTATTATTTTATTATAAAAAATCAATTTTTAAATTCCAATTCGATCTTGGAACGAAGGCCACAAGTTTGCTAGCCAAGTGCTACCCTCGTAAACTGAAGCGGACAAGTTAATTGAAAGACGGAGAAATAATAATAATAATAATAATAATAATGATGATGATGATGATGATGATGATGATGATGATGATGATGATGAAAGGAAAAAATTTGAAAAAATCAAAGGAAAATTAATTCTATTGATGTCTAATGCAAGAAAGCCCTAGTAAATAAATGTGCCTTAAGTTTCTTCTTAAATGAAACAAAATGAAAGGTCAGTATTCCTGGGGTCTAAAGGAAGTGCATTCCAAAGCTTGGGCGCGGCCAGCAAACAAAAAAGCGCAATGACGACGACAGGACCAATTACTTCGACAGAAGAATAAACCATTGAAAACAGACTCCTGTTCCTGTCTTTACACGGCAAACTAGACAAAGAAAAATGGCGCCGTGTGTCATTAGAACTGCCCATGTTCTGAATGGTTCAATATTTCACCGTCCAATATCGTCTCATTAACGTTCCTCAAGGCTGCTATTATCATGCGCGCGATTGGAGTTTTTCCCCCCAAAATCCCAATCGTCCTATTTCAGCAGTATAACGTCACGTGATCGAACTTCTATTTGAACGCTAAGAATCGTGGTCGTGGTAGGGGGACAAAAGAGCAACCACGCAAAGAAAACTGACTAAAAATTGTATTTTTGTAGAACTTAGAAAAGCAATAATAGCCACCAAATATCGTATGTATTGCAAGATAAACGCAGGTTTATAAAATGTTTGAAAACCAGACATATCAAAGCTATTAATTCAGCTGCAGACAGTAACTGCGATTTTCATAAACATGCGAACTCTGTACTGCGCGCTGCAAGCTGAAATTTGGTCGCTGCCCAACCTCGTTCCCAGGGCCCTCTTACGCA